TCAGTATGTATTTTGTGTTTCCTTCGTAATAAACTTTTAGATATTTCTTTATTTTATATGAGTTTTTCCCCTAAAACATTTCCGTGATTGTTTGAATGAAAATTAGCCTTGGTTGTTCGGTACTATCATGTAGCTGCTTTCGGTATAAGTCTTATTGTCAAAATTTTATTTGCAGTAATATTACCATTTTAAACCACTGCATGGAATGCTGCTATTCGCTATAAGTGGATTCGGATGCCTTTTGTGTAAACTAAGCTTCAGTTGACAGCGATTTATCCGGATATGTCATATGCAACATTTTAAAGCCACTTTATGCTCCACAGGTCGATTGTATTGAATGCAAACTTAAAAAATAGTTCATCCAATGAAATTTTGTCACTACTGCTACAATTAGTTTGAAATTGTTGAATTTTATGCAAGGCACAATCAGATAACGAACGTAACATCACAATTTTATTGTTACTTAAAACTCGCATATATGAATTGTTTAATACTATAGGTTGTTAAACATACTTTTTGAACTTGTTGTTTAGCCAAGAATCGGAACCAGTTCCTAGCCAATCGGTTCAATAATTTTCAGATGGAAAATATAAAGCCTCTTTTTAATGGCTGCAACAAATAGCAGAAGGTACGTTTCAACTTATAGCATTTAATATTGATCGGTTAAAATTTTTCAGCAGACGAAAGAATGTATTTAAATAGATCTTTGATTCCACAGTTTTATTTAACTCTGAATTCAGACTTACCAATTTCGATTTACTGGTTAACATGAAACCTTTTTCGATGAATTGTAGTTTATTACTGTTACTCATATTTGTAATCAGTATCACAAACGTTGAAGCTTATGAAAGTAATAAAGCAGCACCATATTCACGGTATGGATTAGCAGGAAGAACTTCAAGTGCATGCACTCTGATGGTTGCAGCTAGTGCCACATTCTGCGACCCCACTTCCGAATATGCTAGTATTTGTTATTGTGTTGATCCTAATGCTCTAGCTACAGTAGCTGGTTGTTATCACATAGCTAATAGAATCTCCGAAAATAACGTTAATGGCTTAAGTGCAAATTGTGAGGAATATGGTGTTACCATTTCGTTTGACCAATTCGAAGCAGCATATGATAATTATACTTCCCTTGCGAAGGATCCATCTGATATCAAGAACTTCAATGCCACTGTCCCTGTTACTATGCCAGTCAAGTTAAACGAAACACTTGTTAAGTTGTACATAGATGCTTATGACCAATTCTTAGGCAATTATGATGATTCGTTATATTACGGCTCGGGTGTTCTTGGTTATTGGGCACTTGTCTTCTTAATTGTTACAGTTGTAAACTGGACCAAAATAATATCCCCTGGGTTGGTAAAAAC